AAAAAAAAAAAAAAAAAAAAAAAAAAAAGACAATTGCTCCTCTTTCAAGGAGAGTCTTCCAAGTGGCTCTCCACATACCACACAAGATTTTATAATGTAATCTTGAGGCTTTGACTTCCCTGAGTAGCTGAGGTATTTAAACTAGGACATATATAAACTCTTTTTCTTGCCTTATTAAGTTTTAATGATATTTATATAAAGAAGCTTGTAAAGAAAGTATGAGCTAACAGAGAAAATCAGGAAGCTCTCCTATTGAAGTTTAACCTCAGGACATATTTGTGGATCATTTCATTTTATTCACCAAATATTGATTTGATACCTCCTTTGTTCTGGTTATTGTGGTAGGCACTGGGAATAAAATGATGACCATCTTGTTAAGTGTTGTAATGAAATTTCTTGGAAAATATTGGCTTGGTTTAGACTGATACATAAAAAAAGACTGCACTGAAAGTGACCTCTGCTGGGCAAGAGGAGGAAACTGTAGTCACACACCATGTGGGACATCTAAGCATGATCAGGTTATGGTCAAAGAAGCCCAAACAAAAAGATTCAGACTACCCTGAACCCTTCTCACTGAAAGAAAGATTTGTTTTCTACACTATTATTGTATTTAGTGTATCTGAAAATTTATAAAAATTAGAATAAATTTGATAAACTATTAAAACAGCAAACCAGAAATTTTCCCATCTCCATCTTCTGCTTGTTCCCCTCACTACTATATCTTCTTCAGGGACCAGGATGTCTCACATACATGACAATAGATGTCAGAGAGAAAACAAGAAAAAAGAAAAGCCCAGCGCTTCTCGATGTTCACTGGCATTAAAATATATGAAGTTCCCATTGTTGTTTAGCAGAATGATCTTGGGAGTCATACCCCAGTCTGGTACACAATTTAGCTATCCCCACCAAACGAGTTACTTGAAGAGGGAATTCTTACTTTTGTGAATTAAAATGTTTCAACACTGCTTTGAGCAGAAGGGACAATGATCACATGCTAGGCCCCTCTGCTGTAGCTTTTGAAAATAAGTCAACTTGTATTTGGGTGCTGCTGTGAAGGAATTTTGCAGGTATAATTCTAGCCTTGAATCAGCTGCCTGTAGGTAAGGAAGATCAACCGGGCAACATGAGTGGGACTGACTTGATTACACGGAAGGCCTTGGAAAACCTGGCTGAAGTTCCCTAAATGAGAGAAGGAATTGTATTCATGGAGGAGAACTTCAGTCTAGACTATGGAACCCAGTTCTCCCAAGATTTTCTCTTTGATTGCCTGCGCTGTGGGTGTGTTGTCTCGCTGAGTCCTAATTGAACAACCCCACTCCTGGTACATTCGTTTGCTAGGGCTATAGTAACAAAGTACCACAAACTTGGTGGCTTAAACCAAAGGAAATTTATTATTTCACAGTTCTGGAGGAAACAGGCTCTGATCAAGGGGTCAGCAGTTGGTTCTGAGTAAGAGCTGAGCTGGGGAATCCACTCTGTGCTGCTTCCTCAGTGCTGGTGGTTCACTGGCAACTGGCGGTGTTCTTTGGCTGGTAGATTAGATGATATGTCACCCCCACTTCTGCCTCCACCTTCACAGTTCTCCTTTCCATAAGGACACAAGTTACCTTGGACTAGGGCCAACACTAATGACCTCATTTTAACTTGATTACTTTTATAAAGACCCTATCTCCAAATAAGGCCACATTTAGTGGTATGCAAGGATTGGAATGCATTTTGGGGGAAGATGCTTAACCATCATGCCTGCTGCTCTGATTGAGCCCTGCATCACATGCTCTATGTGCACCACTTCACCACCCCCCAGCCTGCAAACAGCTTACCAGAAAGGTGCATCTCTCCAGGCGGCACAGTTCATGACCCCACAAAGACTGATTCATCCTCTGACATGGAGATATTTAAATCTGAGTTTAAACATAATATAATTGCGCAAGTCACTCACACAAAGAAGACCACAAAGAAAATGAAGTTTAGACATATTGTTAGAATAATTCCAGAGCACGTCAGTAAGCTTTTTAATTGAGAAGTAGAATATTTTAACTACAACTTAGCTTGCCCATCCCCCACTGCTTAATAGCCAACAAGAGTAACTTTGGAAGCCAATCAAAGTTACTGTGTGGAAACTGCACAGTCCTGAGCCTGGGGATGGGTGAAGACATTTCATGTTCTGTTCCTGTATTATAAGTTATTCTCTTGTGGCCAAGTGTCTCTTATCTGGTTTAGTCTTTATTTTTATTAGCATTAGGTAGTCCCCCACTGTAATGTTGAAAGCAAGGAGTTTCAGATGAGTTTTTCTTTTAAAGAGTAGCCCAGGAGCCCGGGAGATGGCTCAGTAGAATAAGCACTTGCTTTGCAAGCACAAGGGCCTAAATTCAATCCCCAGTTCTGCCAAAAAATAAAATAAATAAATAAAAAATAAAGAGTAGTCAAAAATCCAAACATGTCCATTGCTTTATTCTTTGTAGATTCCAGATATATGGATTCATCTACTCACGAAGATTTGTTTGCAGCCCCCCAAGGCAACATTCTTACTGCTTTCATGGAACTTTCGAACATTCCTTGGCAAGATGGGGCAAAATCCCTTCCCTCCCCAAACAAACAAACAAACAAACAAACAAACAAACAAACAATGTTCTGCTTCATTTTCAGCTCTGTTCTAAAAAGCAAATGTAAATTAATGACCCTTTTGTGGCCTATTAGTTCCCTTTTTGTTTGATATTTGGCTTTGCTTGGCTACCTAACTGTATAACATGACTTGCAAGTATAGTGCTAAAGTGCCACCTAGTGTTCCCAAGTGTAAGAAGGCCACAGTGTGCCTTACACAGAAAAGAAATTTAAATGACTTTATTTTGGAAGGTTATTAGCTCACTGGCACAAGTGCCTGCTTGGCAAGTGTAAGGTCCTGAGTTTGATTCCTGATATCAGAAAGAAAAAAAAAAAAAACACCAGAAAAATAAGGTTATTTAAAACATGAATTACTCCATTGTTCACAGTAAATTTAATATTAAAGAATCAACACTATGTACCAAATTAGGTCTTTTTCAACAGATAATACAAGGCTATGCACTGATTTGTTGATGAAGGGGTGTGATTTGCAGAAACCTAACCTGAATGTTTCCTCAAATCAGCTGTCCATGAAGGATATAATTATTCCAAATAATGAGCATGAACTAGTTGGGCTCTAACTGCTGGCTTTCATTGCCCCTTATCAGGAGGATTAGAATTGAGAACTGAAGAGTTGGTGCCTCTGTCTTCCCACCTGCTACAGGAATGAAGGAAGCCGTCGCCTGGAAGCCTCTCAGGGTCCCATTTTCATCTGACTGGAAGCTGATGAGCATGACACCAGAGGGACTCAGCACAGGGGCAGGCACTTCGAGGCCGCACAACCGAGCTGAGCAGAGCCCAGCCCCAGTAGGCATTGTCAAGGCCCAGCAGACAGACATGGCATTGAACAGAAGGGAAAAATGAGTCCTTTAGGTAACTGCTGAGAAATAAATTTCTGATGAATGTTACAATTTGTTTTCAAAATAGAAAGGAGGCTATTAGCTGTTTGAATATGTGCTTAGCCCCACTCACATTCGAGTTGTTCCATTTGCCAAACATGGATCTTCCCCCTTCTGACTCCCAGCTCCTGGTGGCCTGTCATATCTTCCGGTCAAATAGTTCTTTGAGTCTCGCTATCTTTCCACACCCCTCTTGATGGAGGAAAGGTAGTGAGACCACAGGGAGGGATGGAGCTGGTACAGGCAATGAAGGGACAGAGAACCATAATGTTTTTTATCTCTAGCTCAAGATTGGGCCCAAGGCATGGCCAAATAGCTCAGCGGATTAAAGCACATGCTTAGGCAGATACAGAGGCCAGGGTTCGATCCCTGGCGTGCTGTGCCAGCCCCGCCCCTGAGGCTAGCTGAGAAGAGATTGGGTGTGGTGGCACGCTCCTGTAATTCCAGCGCTTGGGAGGCTGAACACAGGCAGATCAATAGGAGTCGGATCTACGTAATGAGACCCTGTAAAGCCTGTACTTACATTAAAAAAAAAAAAAAAAAATTGGGCCCAAATTCAAACTGGATGAGGCTGAAGTTCCAGGAAAAACAAACCTATTTCCTTTTTCCTTTCTACATCGCTGTGCACAGTCACAGAATCAGAACTGCAGTCTCCATTTTCTTCTATCTCCAAACTCTGAAATGACAGCTAAAAAAAAAATTGAAGTTATATGCAGAGTGAACTGTGTGAAGGAAGAGGTTTTGATTTAGTTAACTTATTTTGTACACGGTCTCACTATGCAGCTCAGACTCATAGCGATCCTTCTGTCTCAGCCTCCCCAGCACTGGGCATTACAGGCATGCACCACCATGCCCGGTTTCGGTGGCTGATCAGCTGGTTCTCAGACTGGCACAGCATGTGGTTTCAGGGGTTGAACCTGGGTCCTCGTGCTTGCCAGGCAGGTGCTTAGACCACAGAGCTATCTCCCCAGCCAAATGAAGAGGTTTTGATTGAACAAATAAATGTGGATTGCTCAGCTTGCTCTGGAGTAAGACCTCAAGTGAGATGATTAATGCATGAAATAAAGTTAAGTAATTTAGTAAATGATGCTGTATCACAGGCTCTCAAACATTCTGAAATATCAAAGCCACCAAATATGGGCTGAATGTGAGGGTGAGAAAAATGTACAATACTTGAGCCCCTTAGCATCTCTTAGGGCCTGAAAAGCCACTCGTTGGAGACTACTATCTTAGAGACAAGTAGGTTTTAGGTTATGCTAGCTTAGATGCACAGCTAGTTGCATGGATGTATGACTGCTTTTCTGGGGAGCTGAGGTTGTATACCTCCTTTCTGATATTCCAAGTCAAAGCTTATGCATATTGTTATAATTTGTAACAGCAATTTCCAAGTTACTGTGGTGGGTGTGTCCCGCAGCGTGGTACAGACACGGGCAGGTGTAAGAGCATGATTTCAGGGGTGCATAGTGTCAGTGCCTGTGTAGTCATGTTTTGGAATCATTTCTAACTCTCGTGTTTTCAGAAAATGTCTTCTATTCTTCCTCCTACAAACATTCTCTATGTGTATGTGTGTGTCTGTGTCTGTCTGTCTGTCTGTCTGTCTGTCTGTCTGTCTGTCTGTGTCTCTGTCTCTATTCTCTCTGTCTCTGTCTCTCTCCATCTCTCTGTCTCTGTTTCTCTCTGTCTCTGTTCTGCCTCTGTCTCTGTCTCTCTCTCCTCTTCCCTTACTCCTCACAAGCACTTTCACCGAGTTACCTTCGCTTCACCTCTCATCTCAAAGATATCTAAATGTTTCCCTTTAATTATAAACAAGTATTCCCTTAATTTTGTTGACAATTTTGCCTTGACTCTGGTTTTCAGTAATTTATAGAAAGAGGGCCCTTTTCTCCTACTCATTTGTAAAACATCTATCACCTTTTTCTGCTCCTAACTCCCAATTCCATTGGGTGTTTCAGCCCAAGTGCTCTCAGCTGTTCAGTAGTCTGATTCAATTACTCTACCATGTTTTGAGGGGAGGGAACTGAATACTTAACTTTCAACTTATTCTCCAGAAGCCCTGAGCTTGTGTAGCAAACCCAAACAACTGACTCTATTGTTTTGTGTTGTGTTGTAAATTAAAGGCTCCATTCTGTGCTGGCATGTGGTTGTACCAGTACCCTTCTCCTCCTCATCTCAGCTCCCTGTCCTCCTCAGGTGCAATCATGTGCCTCCTGACCATGTTTGGTCAACAGCAGAACACTAAGCCGTCTTAGTTTGAGCTGAAATAGCCTAAAGACCGCCCATTTCTCAGCATTTGGCCCTGTCATTGAGCAACGCATGACTATATTAGAACTTTGGGTTTATCTCTGTCCTTTCTCCTCCCTCCCTTTTCTGTGCCCCTTTCTCTCCATCACAGACTCCCTTGCTTTTCAATTACTATTTTTGAGCAAATGCCTCATCCTGACTGCAGCCTGACTTCAGCTACCTCATAGTATCTCTCTGTAGAGTCCACGAGTGCTCAATGGGCAAAGAAACATTCGCACAATTACTACTGATGGAATGTGGAATAAACTCTGTGCCTGGCATTCTAAGGTGCCTGAACCTTGGCCTTAGCCTCACCTTTCTGCAGTGTCTCCAGCAGTGCCTGTTGCTCTCTTAAGCCAGTCATGCCCACCTGTTTTCTATTCTTCCTCTTTGCTTTGCCTTCTTTGTTTGGAAGGCTTAATGACTTGGCTCACTTGTCATAGACTTTTGTTAGTCATTACTTCCGTGGGTGTTTTAGGGGGTGGGGAGATGGCTCAGTAGAATAAGCACTTGCCTGGCAAGCACAAGGGCCAGAGTTCAATCCCCGGTTGGGGGGGTGGACATGCTGATTTCTGGAAGAAACTGGAGATAACGAACCAGAGTACAAGTACCACCTAGTGGTCAATGTGCGTACTTGCAGCTGAAAACTTGGTCAATTCATTATGCAAGTATTTTTCTTTCTTTTTGGTATGGGGAATCAAACTCAGGACCTTGTGCTTGCAGGCAGGCACCCTGTGGCTGAACTATACCTCTGACCCTCAAGTATTTCCTGGAAGCTTGCTTTTTTATGCATCACATATTATTAGCACTCGTGGATTGGGAGCTAAAAATACTTGTAAATACATCAGATAAAAGGCATTGTCCATATTGTGCTTATACTAGCTCTTCTGTGGATATACAGTACGATAACTAAGTAAGGCTAACCAAAGTCAGTACCTTAATTATGTAATGTGTTGGGGCCTGAAAAATCCAGTTACAGTTACTCATGTCGCTGTAGTGTTCAGGATAATGAAGACTTTGGATGACGGCTTCTTCAAAAAGGACAGTCAAGGAACTGCAGCCTGAATCTGAAACACACACACATACACACACACAATAGTCTAAAATAAATAAAAAACTGACACCACCAAAGAAAGAAATTCTCAGTGGTCTTCCTCTTGTCGCCCATAAGTGAGCTAGACTGAAACTTTAGACAGAGCCACCAGAAAGGAAGAGGACGCTCACTGATTTTTCAGAGTACTTCAGACCTTTTGGCTAATGAGTAGGTGAGAAATATGAGTTACAGGGGCCATGGAAGGAGAGATTGCAGATCCCTCAAGTGCTTCCCATCTGACAAAGTGTGTTCTCTGCGCTAAGGACCCCACCTGATTCCTACTTGACCAAAACTTCTAAAAGGAGCATGGAGAGTATGTAGTAGAAGAAAATGGTGTTACCAGGAAGGTATTTTGGCTGAAGAGCTTTGTAGGTGAGATTAAACCCAGTGGCATAATCTGTGGCATCAGAGAAGAACTTAAGCCTTATCGAATTGGAGCCCACAAGAATGGAGGAAGCAAGGTTCTCGCCACAGAATTTTCCTGCAACACAAAAAGAAGATTCAGTATTCAGCTTCTACAAAACAGCACCCATAATGGACTGGCCATGACAACTTTCAGACTTGTCTAAACCAGGGTGACAAACTTGACACTATTGGCTGTCCTGTGCTTTTAACAGGATTTTTATAGCATCCTGAACTCTACCGTTAATACATTATCCTGTAGTGACATCCGAAAGGGTTTCAAAGATGTTGCCAGATGTCTGGGGGCGAGATGAAGTCACCTCTAGCCAATAACCACAGAAACCCTACTCCAATTCTGCTACTCGTATGCTCGAGCTTTGCTTCTCCCCTGCTTATCTGTTGGTGCCTTCTTAGCTCCATGAGGCAATGCCGTTCTCACGCTTAGGTTCATGAGAGGCCCCGAGGAACCCAGTAATGTATTTAGATTTCACTTCCAATGGGAATTAGGTCAAGAAAGCCCGCTTTGGTGGGAAGCAGAATGCAGAAAGTGAAATTCTGCGTGGTCTTGCAGCCACTGGCAAGCTCAGATTCTGTCCCTCTCCCTCCCAATCTGAGTCTCGGACCTGGGGGTGAGGAGCGTGGCATTTGCAGGCAACTCATGCTGAGCCCATTGCAACCAGTAAGCCCACTTAGTGCGTTCTCCATTTGATGGCGTGAACATTCACTCACCAAGGAGCCTGTCTTCTAAAGAATACATTGCCAGATAATTTTGGTGACAGGCCTCCACATCCAGGCGGGAGAAACTTAGCAACACGTGCATTTCTTCTGGAACCAGCAGGGTCCAGACACACACTCTGCAGGCAGGCACACAGCGAGGCTGTCACTTCCAGGTGACTAGTACAGTCTACATAATGGACACAGCCCGTGGGGAGGTGGGAGCCGGAGGGAGGACGGTGGGGATGTTACTCACTGTCCGCTGTCATAACGCAGGCGGACGCTTTCTGGGAAGTACAGCTGCCCCTCGGACTGGCTGACTACACCCTCCCACTCAGTGCACGAGGCTGCCAACGAAACCACAGAATCAAGGCCTACAGCGATGCCCGGCCACAACAACCCCTGCCTCTAGAAGCTGAGAACACTAGTGCCTCCTGGCTCTTCTTGATAGCTACTTCCATCCTTCATAAAATCTTTCTTTGTCTAGATTTTTTTCAGTGCATCTTTTGTTGTTGTTGTTCTTTTTAAAGCTTGTTTCACTTCGAGACTGACATTTCATTTTATTTAATTAATTGATTTATTTTGTACAGGGTCTCTCTATGCATCTCAGATGCATAGTGATCCTCATGTTTTCAGCCTCCCCAATGCTGGGATTACACCCGTGTGCCACCACACCTGGACTCCATTGCTGGATCAGCACGCTGGATCCGGGACCAGCGCTACATGCAGTACTGGGGATCGAACCCTGATCTTGTGCTTGCCTAAGCAGGCTCTTAGTCCGCTGAGCTATCTTGCCCGTCCTGATTTTTTTTTTCCCCTTGCAGCTCTTCTTTCTCAGACCCATCTCTTTATTACATAGCTACAGCTATTTCCCTGGTTCTATCCTTAGTCCTCTTCCCTTTCTGCATGAGCCCTCTGACCAGCATCTCATGTACCCACAACTTTAGGCATCACGTCTACTTCTGTGAACTGACTGTACAATGGTTCCCCGTCTGTCTCTCCTGAGACTCAACACGCTTCGGGCATAACTTCTTGGGGTCAGGAAAATCACATCTATTTGTGTGTTCTTGCTTTCATAGGCCATTTTCTGAGTTTCCTGGGCTCAAAACTTGGATATTATAAAGCAATCAGATTTGATTTTCCCCTTTCTTTCACTACTATGTCTAAGATTGACTGTAAAGTTATAATTTTTCTCCTTTATATTTCTATCTTTTCATTTTTCTTATCATTTTTTAAATCTCTTGAACTACTATATATTTTCTCTCCTTTCTCTTTCTTTCTTTCTTTCTTTCTTTCTTTCTTTCTTTCTTTCTTTCTTTCTTTCCTTTTTTCTTCTTTCTTTTCCTTCAGTACTGGGTATCAAACTCAGAACCTTGTGCTCGCCAGGCAGGCACTTCATGCCACTGAGCTTTCTCCCTGGCCTACTATGACATAATTTTGTCAGTCCACCTTGAGTTATTCTCCCATTAAACCAGCACCAATCTGCTATGTTTATATCATTAAATTATAGGTCTAAACTGTGCATCTAATTAATTAACTTCCTATTACTCAATAATTCTGAACATTTTGACTGATGTTTGAAGCTTCCACAATTTGACTTCAAATGACCTTATCTTAGTTGTATTCTTTTTCCTCATAGGTCTTTATTCACATCTGACACTTAAATTACTTTAGCCAATTAACTTTTATCTATTACACTCTGCATCTTTCTTGTTTGGTCATTAATACCCGTCTTCTGACAGGATATTTATTCAGCGGGAATTTTTTCTATTAAATATTTCCACCTGACAAAATATTATTCATCTGCCAAAGTTCCACTTTAAAGATATCTGTGTGTCAAAGTCTGTCTTTATGAAATCATTTGTTTACAGCTAGATGCTTCTCCCTATTCTAAGCTCTTGGAGCATTATATTACTATATTTACTTTTTGTTGATAGTTCAACGGACTCAAAGAACCATTTAAGATTTGAGCCAGGGATATAGCTCAGCAAGTGCAAAGTCCTGAGTCTAATCCCCCATTCCATTAAAAAAAAAAAAAGATTTGAGTTAAATACACCTTAGAGACTATCCAATTTATTTTCTTTTTCTTTTTTTCCCCCATTTTTAAAATGTATTTGGTACAGGGTCTCATTATGCAGCTGGTACTCATAGTGATCCTCCTGTTTTCAGCCTCCCTAGTGCATGGATTACAGGTGTGAGTCACCACACCAGGGCTAGGGCGGGGTTGGCACAGCATTTGGGACCAGGGATGGAATCCTGGTCCCTGTGAGCTATCTCACAGGCCCCCAACTTATTTTCTTTACAGATGAGATAATTGCAGTCCAGAGATAAGAAAGAGCTTGCCAAAAATCACAGGGTAAATTCATGGCAGAGTTGCAATGTGACATAGGGACAAGTCCCATAGACCAGGGACTCTTGGCTTTATCAGTCCACCTTGAATTATTCTCCCATTAATCCAGCACCTACTTGCTGGTAGTTTTTGTATCTAGGCAGCATGGAAATGTGCCAAGGAAGACTTGATTATAAAGGAGACTGAGACTCAAAATGTTGATTCATGTTGTGGGTGGAGTCGATGAGAACAATACTCACCCCTGGAACTGTTTCTCTGAGGCCCTGAGAAAGAAAAAGAAAGGCGATTCAAAGCTTGTGGTATCTGTAATCGTATTTCAAGAGGCTAACATCCTTTCTACTGGAAAGTACAGTCAGTAGACAGCTAATAAAAATCTAACATGTAGAAAAAGCAGAAGGGATAAATGGACAAAAGAGAAAGGGGCCCTGGTATTTTACAGAGATGTTTTACTTATTTTATTGAATGGTCTAATTAGGTAACAGTTGTGATTAATATGGAAATTACAGAGAGCAAGAAGAGATTATGTTATACAAGATTAGAGGCTAGACATAGAAATAACTTGCCTACAACCACAAAAGAATTCTGGGATGGCTACAATTTGAACTGATGCTTCAGATGCCTACCATTGAGCCACACACTTGAAAACAAGTTCAAATTCCTATTGAATTGATCTCCCTGGGAAAAGATGAAAGCCCCTTTGAGACTAAGACACTGGTTAAAAAAAAAAAACCAAACAATTGAGTTGGGATTGAAGAGAATCTGTACTTTATTCCTTGGCCAGTTTAGTAGAAGGTTTGTGTAGACCTTGACCCTTTCAAACTAAGTCTGCATCTATATCAAGAATTTCAGACCTCTGAGTTATTAACATTTGGAGCAAGATGGGTGTGTCCTGTGCATTGCACTCTGTTTAGCCACAGCGCTGGCCCCTACCCACCAGATGCCAGTGTCTCCTTTCCAGTAGTGACAACCAAAAAACGGTCCCCAGCATCTTTCCATAGGTGGCCAAATTGCCCCTTCTTGATTGATATGTGCTACATCTTGTTAGAATAGTTGAACTGTAGGTGGTAAAAAATATTATCAGGTGACATAATTTCATTGAAAGGCAAAATTGACCAAATTTGCAACAGATAGATTCATTTCTCATTGAATATTTGTGTACTGCACAACTCTTCATATTTTCCTAATGTTTTGGACAGTAAGCTTTATGATCCTTAAGCACTACCCTAGGAAGAGAAGTGGAAGACTATGCTCTGTGGTCCTGAATTGCCTGGTGCTCTCTGTCCTAGCAGAATAGCAGCTTCTTAACCTCGCATGATGGCTTCATTACCAGTTTGGATGTGTTCATGGATCCAGGGAAGCACTTTACTAATATCTGTGAAGATCCCAGGAGATCCTTGCTCTTGTCTTTGCCTATTGTCTCTCCAGCCTCGACCACAGCCCAAACCCCAAGAAGTCACACCAGCCAGAGTCCAACCTCCTTGCTTATTCCGGCACATGAGTGAACCTCCTGAGTCTCCCTGCAGAAGGAAAAGGCCTCTGTTACTATCACTGTCTGTGTCTATACTGCGAACAGCTCGCTTTTCTCCCATAAAAATGATTGATGAGACTTGCTCATTTGTAGTAATTGAGACTCATGGCCCAAACACCAGGAAACCAGCCAAGATCACCAAATGATCCTTTAATATCATTGGAGCCTATCAATTGCAGCTCCATCTCCACCACCCTTGGTTTTCATCAAAACAGCAGACTTTCTCCCCTCCCTTGTCTCATGTCACAGAGTCAAAGAAATCCTGCCCAGTGATAAGATTGAATTTATGTCTGGGTAACAGGAAGAGTGGAGGAAAAGAAAAGATTCCAACATCCATAAGTTGGAGATCTCTAAATAGGAGAGAGCCAGCAATCTTTTAAGAATGGGAGAGCCCTGAGCTTATTCTTGGCATGAACTCTGTTAATTGGACTTCATTTGAATTCACACTCCCCGTGCAAAACATAATGTTCAACCTGTCCCCTCATTTTGATTTGTCCTGCCTGACCCTCCTTCCCAGATTCCAGTTTGACCTAAAGTTAGTCTTATGTGTGTCTGACCCTCACCTGTGAACAAAGCCTAGGAGGGTAGACCTGCAGTTCCTACTCACCTGACATGCATCTTTCCCTCCCTCCGGGGAGCCTGTGCAGAGAAAGGTCTTCCCACTGAAGGGCTTCTTTATGGTTAGTAAAGCTGCTGCACACTCCTTCTGGGTCAAAATAGGCAGGTTGACTTCCTGCAAGACTTGTGGAAAGATGCCCCCTGGAACACAGGGGCAGGATCTCCAGCAAAACATTTCTGAATTGAAGATGTGATATTCATTGTCATCAACTGACCAGATTTGCATCTTTTGGAGAGGTCTGAATTTCTAAGTACAATGAAAAATTATCCTTCTTCACCTTCAGTGCCATCTTGGTAAAAAGGCAGGCAAATATTTAGAATATGCCCTTCCCAAAACTGAAGCCAAAGCAAAAGCTTTGAAGGCCAAGAAGGTTGTGCTAAAAGCCATCCACAGCCACAAAAAGAAGATAGGACTGTCACACTGTGGCTCTGGAGGCAGCCCAAATACCCTTGGAAGAGCATCCTCGGGAGAAACAAGCTCGACCATTATGCTACCATGAAGTTCCCCCTGAACACTGAGTCAGCCATGAAAAAGATCAAGGACAATAACACACTCGTGTTCATTGTGGATGTCAAAGCCAATAAGCACCAAATTAAAAAAGCTGTGAAGAAGCTCTATGACATTGATGTTGCCAAGGTCAATCCCCCAATCAGGCATGATGGAGAAAAGGTAGCATTATGTTCCACTGGCTTCCAATTATGATGCATTGGATGTTGCCAACAAAATTGGAGCCATTTAAACTGAGTCTAGCTGGCTAATTCTAAATACATACTTTTTCCCCATAAAAAGTTGCCCAATATTAAAAAAGAAATTAAAAATTGTGTTCTCTGATTAACCACCAGTAGACTCTCATCTCTGATCAAGAGGAGTAGCACAGGGTCTCTTACCTTCAGTCAAGCGGCCCCAGCCTGTAGTAGTACAAATAAATCCAGCCTTAAATTGTTCTCCTGGCTCCGGAAGACACACAGGTCCCACAAACTGACCTGAAGAAGAAAAAGACCAGGGCAGGGCTTGTCTCATTCATAAAGGAGAGGCTGCCATAAAGCACTTACCAGCTGTGATCTCACTGTCCCCCATAACCTTCTAAGAGTTGTGATACATGGATCTGGCATCTCCTGGGGTCACCCTCTCTTGATTATACTTAATCTCAAAACCAAGCAAACTAAAGCTCAGGGTAGGGAACCCATCAGTCAAAATCACCATCTCAAGGCCAGCCATATAGTTCAGCAGATTAAAGCACCTGCTTAGGGAGATGCATGGGCTAGGGTTTGACCCCTAGCCTGCTGTGCTGGCCCTGCTCTTGGGGCATGCTGAGAGAGCAATAGAGACTGGGCATGGTGGTGTGCACCTGTAATCCTGGTGCTTGGGAAGCTGAAAACAGGAGAATCACTACAAGTTCCATCTGTGTAGTGAGACCCTGTAGACTCTGTACTAAATTAAAAAAAAATCACCATCTCAAAGCACATAGACTAGAACTGGTCATACCCTACATACCATGCACCAGACTAAGGTTCTATGGGTAGGTCACTCAGGGGACCTTCAAATGTTTACCAAATTGGAAGGTTCCAGCCATCTTCAAAAGTGCGATGTCATAGTCCATTGGTTTTTTGGTGGAGAATTGTGGGTGTACGATGATGGCTTCAATGGTAAGAACTTGCTCTCCTGGCTCTGTCTGGCTCAAGTCATGTTCCCCAGCAGTGACATTCAATGTTGCTGCAAAGGTTCTATAAAGAAACAGAAAGAAATGGAGGCCTTCAATGAGCTTCTGAGTAGAGTTGTAAAGGGTTAACAAATTGGCCTATTTGAAATTATATGGGTGAGTAATGTGCTATTCCAGACTGTTCAGTGGAGCAAATATGAATGATTTCAAGGCTGTTAGAAAAATCATGCAGAAATTCCTACTTGCAGTGGAGTGCTCTTTCATATGAAGCCAATGACATAATGCATTTAACATTTTGCATTGTAATTTTATTTTTAGATCTGTATATACATTTTAACACAGGGCTCTAAAAACTATAAGGGAGTTTGTTCAGATGTTGTACAAGGTTGATGCAGCTTTGGGCTGGCCAGATAGCTCAGCAGACTGAAGTGCCTGCGTAGGCAGAGTGCAGTACCCGGGGTTCAATCCCCAGCATGCTGTGCTAGCCCTGCCCCTGGGGTGCACTGAAATGGTGATTGGTGATTGAAACTGGTCGTGGTGGCACGCACCTGTAATCCCAGTGCTTGGGAGGCTGAAAACGGGAGAATCACTACAAGTCCAATCTACATAGTGAGACCTTGTAGACCCTGTACTAGATACATTACATAAAACAAAGAGGTTGATGCAACCAGAAGAGCCTTCAACACCAGAAGGCTCTTCAACACCAGAAGAGCCTCTGGAAGTGATTTATGATTCTCTATATGTATGCAGCTTTAATGTCAAAGATCTCATACAAGGCCTATATTATGAAGGACAGCACCATAACTGTGAGGTCCCAGAGAACATACGTACATAGGGATTTATGCCATTACTATAATGGAATTTCGGGATCTTCCTCTGATCTTTTTGTTTGTAATTTAGAACTTTCTCAGGACACAGGATAGACCCCATATCCTTGGGACAATATCATCTGAAAGGAACTTAGTAAGAGGCATTGAGGGGGATGAAGAGGTTTAAGGATGCCATCAGAGTAGACTCTTCATTTTCAGAAGTGATCCTTTTGTACAAAATTGGAAAAATTATTATTTCCTCTTGTTATACTTCTATGAATTTTGCCTATGTTCAGTACCTAACTTAATTCATAGCAGCCCTCTAATCTACCTCTGGTATTCAGTGACCTTATCAATGAACTTTTTCTGTTTGTTTGTTTATGACACAAGGTCTTATTATGTTTCCCAGGCTGGCTCCAAACTCTGGACTCAAGCAATCCTCGTGTCTCACTCTCTTGAATAGCTGGGACTACAGATGGGCACCACGCCATGCTACCTCCTCTTTCACACTATCAGCTGTCTGGTGAACAGGAATAGTGTCTCAGTCATGTCAGTGTCTTTTATGCCTTCTAGGATAAAGATGGGAGTTGCCAGGTTGATGCACACAAAAGTAAAAATAATAGGAAGGAAGACATGAGGGTCTAGTAGCTTCTCTTGGTTTTTTCTTTATCTTCTTCTTTCTTTTTTAATGTATTTGGTTGTAACAATGTCTCACTATGCAGCTTGGTCTCATGGTCATCCTCCTGCTTTCAGCCTCTCCAGCACTGGGATTACAAGCTTGGACCACTAACCCCAGATTCTGGCTGGCTCATCCCACCCTAGGGGCTGGGCAGGCACTGCATGTGGTGCTGGGGATTGAACTGGGGTCTCTGCACTTGCCTAAGTAAGTGCTGTAGTTCACTGAGCTATCTTGCTCAGTGAGATAGTCCACTGAAGCCCATCCTTTATCTATGTCTTGAGATGTATAATGAATTAGATACATTTTCACTTAAATTTATAAAATCCAGAGAAAATTTTCAGAAAACTATCTTTTCATTCACTTGGATATTATGCTTTATTAACTTCAGCATCTTAAGTAAATAAAATATTTTTTTTCAAAGAATATATGGCTCTTCACCAGGTTGTATACAGTTTGATAATCTCACTGAACCCTGTTATGTCATGGAGTTAAGATGTTCGTGCATGCTTTATTGGAGTTATTCTTGCTGGCTTAGAGGGAGAAGGGGTGATACGATTCTCATTGAGGACCTGTGTCTTCCCCACCTCTTTGCGACGCAGTGAGCAGCTGTGATCACCCACTGGGGAGCGATGATGGTTCCTCCACAGATGTGCTTCTTCCTTTTTTTCAGAGACACCTGAATTGCAAAGACCTTAAGTGGGTGTGGTGCCCTAGGATGCTCCAAAAGCTGGTGACTGAGTTATTTTGAGAGGTAGACCCAGATATCTTACCCATAATTATCATGACCCGTGGAAAGTGACAGGGTAAAACCTGTGCAATACAGCTCAGGAAGAGGAGCAGGGCTGATACCAGAGCTTTCCCAGCCCTGGCTTGTATGAGAGATAGTTAACTTGAGATAACTAGTCATAATCATTTCAATAGAGTTGGCAGTTAGAAGTGTTGGTATTTGTTTACTGTTTTTATAACACTATTGACACATATCTATGGCTCTAACAACATTATCAGGATCTATGAATAAAAAAAGGAGTAAACTCAGGACCTTGCTCTTGCCAGGAAGGCACTTATGCCATTGAGCTATATCCCCAGCCCTGGACACTTATAACTTCTTCAGGGATATTTTTTTATTCTGCCTCCTGCATACTTGCTATCTTTGATTCCTTCTTTTTATGCTATTGTATTTGTTTCTAAAATGACTTACAATGCATGTTATTCTGTAGATATCTTCATACTGTTAGACTTAACAAAACATGATATTTACTAGACTAGTCTATTTTTTAAATATATTCCGCTGTTTATTTATTTATTTATTACATTTATTTATTGTGTGTGTGGCCAGCTCAGCCCGCCTGGTGGTGGGGCTGGCTGGCATGTGGTGCTGGGGGATCGAACCGCAGTCCCTGTGCTTTGCCAAGCTTTTTCCAAGTAGGTGCTTTAGACCACTGAGCCATCTCTCCAGCCCCTAGACTAGTCTATTTTTTGACCAAATATTATTTAATGAGAAGTAAAGAAAGTGTGTAGCTCAGTGGTAGACTACATGGTTTACTATTTGTGGGGCCCTTGGCCTGATTCCTGTCACCGTAAACAAAACAGGACAAAACAAAGCAATACAAGACAACAAACATCCACCCTCCTCAAAGATAGTAATACAGAGAGAAGCTGATTCTTATCTTAGAGCAAAGAGCAAATAACAAAGGTCAGTGAGTCACCTTTACTGTGATCTGAATATGGACTTCTGATCTACTAATCCAACTGAAGAAGTTATCAATTGATCAGTCAACCACACAATCAAGTAATTAATCAGTTGGCCAATAACAGTGATCCAGGTCTTCAGCCCACTGAACAAAACTCAGTCAATCTTTAGTATTTATTCTTTGGCTTAAAAGTTACTGATCAAGAGCACTAAAATTAAAGGATTATTTTACTCGCAAATTTAAGAAGTGAGATGACAACACAGCTCCCAAGGTAAAGACAACTTGGAGTATTCAAAGAATAAATACAAACACCTTGGACTCAGGGCACAAATACAGAGGCAATTCCAAGACATTGTAGGACAAAGAAATTAATTTGAAGCAAAATTCTTCGAACATTAGCTAATAAGAGGCACCATTCTCTACTGACTATTCTCTGAGGGGTTCTACATATAAGTGAAAAATTTACACCCTAACACAAAGTGGATCTGTGAATATGAATTCTCCCATTTTGCTAACTATAAAAATAAGTGTACTTCCAAATATACTCACTGAATCAAAAGCTATTTTTTTCACATTCTAATTTAATTTTATTTTGAAAAGTAAAAGCAAAAGCAAGAGCAAAAATCAGAAACAAAGACAGAAACAGGGCAACATAGAATACATATGTCACAGATTTTTCAAACCAGCAAAAGTTGATTAACAATGGTTTTACTCTTCAAAATAAAAGAAAATTATAATAATAAAAAGAAGATGCTCAATTAGCTTAAATAGTAAACTTTAGAAGTTTTTAACTTGCTGAAGTAGAACTTTTGTCTTAGGGGCTGAGAATTTGGGACAGCATTTTCAGTTTGTGACACAAATCAACAATGCATGTAAGTATTCTAAACAAATTTGTGGAGTTCAGGTGATGTGTATTATACTCTGAGATGCTTGGTGAAAAGGAAGGCCGAACTGAGCATGGACACATAGCACAGGACACCTTGTGATCCGATTTCAACACCTCGTAGCCCATCCTCCAGGAATGTTCCCTGAGACTCACCTGCCAAGGATAGGAACCCTTTTCCACTTGGTTTCCCCCAACAATGCGACTGAACATGCTTAAATAATTCCAAGACTGCGCCTTAACCACATTCTGCCCACAGTGGGGAGCTGGAAAAAAGATAAACATCTAATGATTTGATACCCTATAGGACCGAAGGTTCCAGAAAACCCTTCTGAGCAAGGCAACAGTGCAGGGTGTAGAGGATGTAGGAAGATCACAAAATACCTTTAATTGTTGGAGCTTGCTGTGATTTGAAGTACAAGGGAGTACTCCATTATTTGACATGTAGAAGGGGTATATAATCAAGAGATCTATTTTATGAGGTAAAAGTTAAGGGCCACAGTGATATAGCTCAGGAATGGACACCTCTTTTAATTCTGGGTATTTTATTCTCTCAAAGTCTCTCTATAGCACTCTGTATTTTCTTAAGACATTAATCATGCATTATTGTGGCAATTTCTATGTCTTTCAACCCAACTAGTTGGGGACT